CTTTAACTCTCATTTACTAGTTTACTGTTATTAATTCAATGAAAAATTATGTCTCTAGATATAAACACCACTGCAGGTTATCAGCAGATCACGGAAGGAGAGTTAAAACACAAGTAAAGTAAATTAATATAACGCAAATTCTGCTTATTTTTTATCTACATATTTCCTGCTTCATTATGAAAGCAGTCTGGTTTGTGGCAGGTAAAACATCCGGTCTCTGTTCATCCATTTGTGCATTGTATGAACCCTGAATGCTAAATCAGTGAGAACAGCCGTTAGGGAGGGCAGAGCTGCTGTGTGATACGACTGAACGTGATCATTTAGAATTTGTTGGGAAAAAGAAAAGTTCAGTTTGATCAGAGAAGGACATTTTGCCAAGGAGAGCCTTTGTTTTTAGAACCTGAAATCCTGTTTGCACTTTCTGTGTGATCTGCTTTGTAAAGTCAATTTCTGAATGGAATAATGTGTGTTTACAGGACAGCTCCATATTTGATCTGCAAAGAAGCTAATAAAAATGGATTACAATAGTTACTTGAAGGGTTCAGTGAGTTACTACATCAGAGACTAACGTGTAACTTTCCACCTCTGTGAGCAGGAAGGCCCATTTTTCTGGTACAGTTTTACTGATGAAATGAATTATCATCGTCACAGGAACAATACAGGAGAGAAGCGTCTTCCAGTTTGCCCTGGAGAGAGTGGCGAACGAAGAAGGAGGAGAAATCTGCATCCTCCCTGAGAAAAATGTTGAAAATGGGACGCCAGACATGAACAACGGATCTCCTGAGCCGATATGCAGTCCAACCCCCCCGCCAAAGCTGCTCATTCGATTTGAAGAGGTAAGTCCACAGCTGAACACAGAAATGTTCCATCTTGGTTCTTTAGATCCACATTTTTTGTGTAAATGTATTTTAAATTGTTGTGGATTCAACGTTGTAAAATATGAATAAAAAGGTCTCTGATGGTTTTTGCTGTTGGTCGGCAAAGATCTTTAACTGGACGATGATCTCCACACAGCTTAGGATTTTTTTTTATGCAATTGGAGCTTCAGCTGTTGCTCTGTCTGAATGATACCAAAAATAATTTTTAGTTTTAAATGTTCTAAAAAAAACCTGAATGGATGCTTGGTTTTGAAAATGTTTAGTTTGACACTAAAACAAAAACGCAACTCAAAGAGCGGTGGTTATGAACCAGCAGGGTTCAGGAGGATCCGTTCTGCATCATTAATCTATGCTTTGACATAATGGAGATCTTGGAGAAGAACCTGATCCTGTGAAATATTGTGCCTGTAGAAATCAGTTCAGTCTGAAGGTTTAAGAAACTGGATAACTCCCTTTAAAACTGAATCTCCTGAACTTCTCCTTTGTTGGCTTCTATTAAAGCTGAGAGCTACCAGTTTAATGGCCTCCTGCCAACACGCTGTCTTAGGACACTTTATAGAAACAGTTCAACAAGATGGTACACGTGCCCACCTGCTCCTGCTCTGCTCTGTCTGCCAGCCGGTTGTCAGGTCTGCTAATGCTACTGCTAACAATGATCTGGCTCCGATAGCTGGAATGGACCAAATATAAGGCAGAGCTTGCGGGATGATTAAAGGAATAGTACACCCAAAACATGATTAGCTTTCATTTTCTACTCACCCCCTGAAAGCACGTTCACGGCGCGACCGAAACCGCGGCAGACCAACCCAGACGAAAGTGCGCATGCAGCTCGGCAAAGAAC